GTCCTCCTGTTCTTCTTTTTTTAGTAGACAGGTTGTTGGGCCTGAGAGCCACTCAGCAGCACAATGGAATCCAACACACGTGGAAAATATTTTCCTTTTCCATTACACACACACACCCCCGTGCGCACCCCCCGGGCTATTCCCAGGAAAACACTGGGCGTTCAAGGGCAGCCTGTTCTCCCCTTCCCGCAGCACCATGTATGCAGTGCTGGGAACACATGCAGCGATCTGAGTGCTAAGGAGTAGTTCTGTGTTATCTGACAGCAAACCCTTCACATGTGCGCCCCATCCAGTGTCTCCCCTCACCCACCATCCCCTTATGGCCCTAGAACCTCCATCTCCCCTGGCCTCCTTCCCTGCTGGCCTGTCCTCGCTCACTGCTCCAGTGGGGTTGGGTTGCCTGCCCCTGGGTACAGGCTGGGGACCCAGCGCTACTGCACCCACTAAGCACAGCCTGGTCTCAGCCGCCCCATGTGCCCACAGGGAGTCGTCACTTTGGCCCCTCTCTGCATAGAGTCAGGTGGAGCTGGAATGTGCGTGAGCCCTGCCTGGCATCCTCCTGGTGCCACTCCTTCCCTCTGATCACCCATCCCATCAGTTACATAATCTATGGGGCTGAGACACACCCAGCCCTCCTCCTCTGGGTCCTGCACTGGGGGCCAGTCACTCCTAACAAACGGGGGCGGGGGTCTCTTTTCAGTACAGGGGTCTGATTCTAAGGATGCAGGGATCTGTGCTTAAATCCATCCTGACACACTGTGGCTTCCTCTCCAGCCAGGGGACAGGGTCGAGGTAGGGGGTGAGCCCTTTGCTGGGAATGCCTGGAGTTGTTCCTTTCTAGTTATGACATTTTCTGGGCATTGTTTTAAGGGGAAATATTGTCTCAGCCTCACGCTGCCTTATTGCTTTGTTATTATTGCTGCCATCTCAGTAACAGGAGAAGTCGAGAGGTTGTTTTACCTCTGTATTTGGCACTGGGGCACCTGCTGCTGGACTCCGGTGTCCCGTTCTGGTGCTCACGATTCAAGGACAGTGATAAATTGGAGAGGGGTCAGAGAAGAGCCCAGAGAATGATGAATGGAGTAGAAAACCTGCCTCATAGTGGTGGACTCAAAGAGAATTCTAGTCTGTTTAACAAAGAGCAGGCTAAGGGGTGACTTGATCCCAGGCTGTGAGTATCTACATGGGGAACAAAGATTTAATACTGGGTGCTTCAGACTAGCAAAGAAAGGCCTAAGATGAGCCGGGGTAGAAGGTGCAGCCGGACAGATTCCAAATGGAAATAAGGGGAGGGGTAATGAACCATCGGGACAACTCACCAAGGCTCATGATGGATTCTCCATCACTGGCAATTTTAAAATCAAGATTGGATGTTTTTCTAAAACTCTATGCTGTCAGTCAAAAGGACCTATTCTGGGGCAGTTCTCTGGCCCAGAGGAGGTCAGACTAGATGATCACAATGGTCCCTGCCGGCCTGAGAATCTAAGAACCTGCACCCACCCATCTTAACCTGGGAATCCATATTGCATTGCCGCCTAGTCCTCACATGCTCCAGAATAATCTCCTTGTCTCTGTCAGACGGCTTGTGATGCCTACTAGTCCAGCTCCGGAGCTGCATGAGCACAGGAGAGGGGCTACTGAGTGGCAGAGGGAGGCATTTTAACGGGTTAGCCAAAACAGTAATGACATCTTGGGCTGAGGGCATCAGCCCCTGCTTCCTAGAAGGTGCATGACCCTGGGGTTCTGCAGTAACAGTCTGTATCTGCCCAGGAGCAGTGCCCTTGCACTCCCAGGAAGACCTCGCCACCCCCATCCATTGCCTTGTTGCTTCCAAGCCTGACCATTGTAATACGCTCTCCCTGGCACTGACCAAACACTACCTGGAAGCTCTGGCTGCAGCCTGCATGCTACTGGAGCAGACTCCCCTTACCTACCCAATCCAGACTCCAATTCCACGGCCTGCTTCTCCTCCACAAAGCCCTGAATGGGTCGGGGTCTGGCTACCTCAGGGTGCTGACCGTGATGAAGTCCTAGGCATTCCTGGAACAGATCAGGTACTGAGCTTCCTTAGTAAGGGTCAGAACCAGCTTCCACTGGCGATCGGGCTGTGTCTCGTGGCCACCAGAATATAAGAGAAGACTCCTCTGCAACCCGATTTTAGAAGGCAGGTGCGGAAAGGAGGGCAGTACCTGTGTGTAGCTGTAGCCGGTATATAACGGGATCAGCAAAGAGCACCCAGACTCTACAGCAAAGGGTGTGTAAAATGCACTTCTAATAGTCAATAAAAAGAGACACCGCTGTATAACCCAGTGCAATTGTGACATCAGTCACGCAGTGAGTGCCGTTCACCGGAACAGCGCAGGGCTCATCAGACAGCCCCACAGCAAGGACTCCATTGCGCCGAGAGCAGAGTTTTCCAACTCCGTTTATTTTAGACACAGCGAAAGAGCAGGGGCCAGGTTCTGCCCCTGGGGCCAGCTGTGCAGAGCCACACCCCAAGGGGCGGAGCTTCAGCTGGTGGCAATTAGCACAGCGCCACTGAAGTCAGGGGAGTCCTGGAGCCAGGGCACGACATCGATTTACACCAGCTGACGATCTGCCCCGCTGGGCTGAAAATCCGTCAGACTCTGCAAACCGGCTGCAATGGTGAGATCCGCCCCCCCAGTGCCTATACCTAGGGACCAAGCCCCCAGCCTGCCGGGCACCTGCATGCTGTGATGGGGACGGAGGATCTTTTTGTGACTGCTGTTTAGGGTAGTCCTGTTCAAGAGATCTGACCTGAGCTGCGAGCAGCAGCCTTGGCGCTCAAAGAGCTGCTTGTCTAGCTAGCAATCATGCTCATTTTCAGGCATGTAACAGGATGCCTATTATGCTAATGAACAAAAAGTCAGCATGACCTGGTTTTTAGCACGCTATTCACTTGGCTGCCCGTCAACGAAGAACTGGCTGGAGCTGCAGCTGACTAGCGGGACTCCCAGAAGCCTGGAAGGGACCAGGCTTGGGATGCAGCTTATTTAGCCGCTCTCAGAATGTGTCTAGCTCAGCCAGTTTTCAGGCCACGCACTCCAGCAGCGCGTCTGGTGGCGTGACTATTGCGCACGTCTTCGCACGCTGTCTGGAGCGATGGCCCAGGCACAGATCAGCTCCGTGAGCAATCTGGCTTGGGATCCCCGGCACGTGGGCCCCTGTTTACGCTCTCGCCGGGTCTCTCCTGTAGTTGGTGCCCATTGCTGGCTCTGCCATTTGTTGCTCTGCTCCACCCCTGGCCTTTTGTTTTATTATCGGTAAGCTATTTGACAATAACGCCAGGGGAGGCTCAGAGTTGGTGGCAGCCGCTGGGTTTGCTGGGTGGGTCTCAATTTAAAATGGCTACAGAAAGAAGGGAGGCACGAGGCACTGGAATAAACCGCTTTATGGTCCGGTTTGGACTTTACCAGCTCTTGCAAAATGGTGTTTTAAGTTACATGACATCAAAGTATACGTAGCGTGGACCAAATTCTCAGATGGTGTAAACTGGCCTCGCCTGACTGGAATCAATGGTGCCACTGCAGTCAACGGAGGTACGCTGATTTATGCCAGCTGAGGATCTGGCCCACTGAGTCTGGAAATACTGTACAGTCCAATGCCTTCTGCAATGGCCACCAGCCCTTGGGGTTAACGTACTGGAGGGGGAAGGTAGCTGCTGCTACACCACGCCATGGCATAGACCAGCCAGGCAGGACAGGTCAGCGCACCCAGGTGGGGCTGTGTTTCAGTGTCACACTGCAGACAGGTTTGCTTTTAAAAAATGTATCTACATTCCACATGCAAGAGTTAAATATACCAACAGCTTTGCACGCACACACGCACACACACACTGTACATGGGGTAGCGCCTGCCTGCTGAGCAGTTGCTAGAGAATTGATTAGATAGTGCAATGGGGTTAAAGGCCGGCATTGCTGGCCACATTCATTCCCCACTGCCTGCACAAACGGATTTACAGGAGACAACGGCGCCTGGATACGTACGAGGCGGGATGAATCGGGCAGAGCATGGACAAGAACCTGGGGAATGGGCAAGTGTCCCTCCGAGCGCCCCCTTTTCTGCGGCTTGTCCATTGAATGTGTGGTGGTGACTTGGTCACCGTGATGGGTGGGCTGTGTCTAGTCTCTGTTTGCAGAGATGCCGGTGACGCCAGGCTGACGGCGAGCTCTTGTGGCGTGTTCAGAGGAGGCCTGGTGGTGGTGCTAGTGAGCTCACTTTTCAGGTTCAATGGTGAGTGCAGGTCCGGTGGGTAAGCCAGTGTGTGTGTGTAGCACTGTAGTCATGCCCAGGGCACACCGCTCACAACAGCTCGTTAGTGGTGCTGGGAGGCCACGCTGTGACACTAGACGCACTTGAGGGCATTCGGCAGGAATGTCAGAAAGCCTTTGGCCGTTTGCTATGAAATACATTGCTGCGGCGTGAGCTCTGGAGATGCTGGGGCAGCGAGGCGGATGGCAAAGGCAAGGGATGGACCAAACTATCCAGAGCAGTGATGTTTGTGCGCGCCAGTGCCTGGTACATGGCGGTGCTGGGCTGGGCACCCATCTGCAGCGGTGCTCAGTGTGGCCTGGCCCGTACAAATGTCTTGTGTGCAGACGGACTTAAGGGGGCACTCAAAACACACTGACAGGATCTCACCAAGCAGCCAGCAGTAGTCCTCCGAGCCACCTGTGTCACAGCAAGGTGGAGTAGTGCCAGCAGTCGGGAGCTGAGGGAGGGAGGGAGGTGGTACCAGTGTGGCCATGTAGAAACAGACGGCTAATGTGGGCGCAGGGCGGGGGCCAGCTTGGTGTAGACAGGAGGGGTGGGTGAATAGGGAGCTGTGGACTTTATCGTCATCTGGCAATGGAGAGAGCTGGAGAAAAGGCTCTTCCCAACTGTAGCCAGAGGGAACGTGTTTCATCAGCGGACTGTGTGGCGGCACCAGCTCCC